TTTTTTTTAATCTAAATTTACACTACACATTAGTGTTGTCAATTCGGATTAATTTGCGGATAGATGGTTTTTTTTGCGGATTTTGGTAGACGGTCTGCGGTGGAGTGTTGTACTAACAAAGTAAAATTAAAACAGTGAGACTATTAGATCAAACTTGTTTTTTTTTTTTAAATAGCCAACAGGGTATACTATAAGTCTATTATATATATACATGTAAAAATTAGTCAACAGTGAATATATACAGATGAGCAAAAATCTAAAAATTGTGTCAATCCCATAAAACAAAAGAGTTGATTGGGGCTTAAGGTGTTCAGTGTGGTTTGCCGGTCGTGTAAAACAAAATCAGATTTGTTTTTCTTTTTCTTTGGGGTTAAATCAAAAACGAAAGAGAGTTGCGTGTGAATCAAGTATCTCTTGCAAGAAGGAGAAAATCACCATCTCTGATAAGAGTGATATCATCAATTTCGGCTCCTTCTCTTGTAAGTACTTTAGTTGGCACGAAACCCATCTTTCTTTCACATATCTCCAATAGCTCTTCCATAGATTTTGGTAACATTATCATTTTCCCACCGTTTTCCGGCGAACTTATCGTGACCCTCGCCGGATAAAACACTCCTCCTCTTTCTCCTCCTGGAATTGTTGGGCTTCTTGAATCTTCTCCTCCATCATCACCTGTAAGAAGAACAATTTGATGATCTTTGTGAATGTATACAAGAACAATTAAGAAAAAGGGCATATTATGTGATGTGAAAATATAGTTACGTGATGAAAAAGCAATTAGTATTAGATATAAAATGGAGAGGTGATTTACCGGTATTTGCAGCTGAAATAAATCCAAAGAGCGAGTTTCTGAAGTTACTGAGTTTCCGTCGCTGAGAAACCACAAGCTGGCCTCCTTCTTGGAGAAGAGGTAATTCTCCTGAATGTGGCATTGTAGGCTCACTGCTATACTTCATCAAAGGCTTTCCTGTAACAGGAATGTCAGGTTTTCCAGGGACAGATTTCGGTTTCTTCTCCACTGGCCTGTGATTATGAAACAAGCTTTTGATATCTTCATGCCCTTGATGCTCCGCGAGGGCTCGAGGAGTCCAACCGTAAGAATCTGGCATGTCCAAATCAGCACCTCGGTCTAGTAAGAACTTGACCATCTCCAGGTGTCCTTCTGAGACTGCTCTGTGTAAGGCTGTGGTTCCGTTCCCGTCAGGGAGTGTGATGTCACCGCCGTATTTGATGATGTCTTTCAGTGCCTCTAAGCTGTTCTTTTCAACAGCTAAGCACGAGAAATAGCCAACTGAGTCTAAGCTCAACTTCGCCCCGTTTTCTGCAAGGAGTTTAGCAATTCCTCCATGTCTCCCTATGATTGCTTCCCACAAGGGAACATTACCTTCTGAATCTGCATGAGCCACCCATAAATTAGATTCACTTTATCAGCTTGTATAACCAACATCTTGAATAATAGATAGATTGTGCAAGAGGCCTCGGAATCGAACTACATGATCCTAGCTAAGTTACCTTTTATGTTAGGATCTGCTCCATGTTCAAGAAGTAAAACGACACAATAATGGCTTCCTTTTGATGCTGCTATATGCTGAGAGACACAGAGAGTAAGCAATTTTGGTTTCGGCATCAAAATGGACGATTAGGCAGAGGATTTTGCGGGCTTACCAGAGCAGTTCGGCCGTTTTTATCCATTTCATTAGGGCTTGAGCCTCGTCTGAGTAACTGATGCAGCAATAAATCGTCTCCTCTGGCTGCAGCAAAACACAAGCTGAGAGGTAAATCCATTTTCCCTTGAGCCAACATGTGTTCTGTATCAGCCAAAATGCTTTTCATCACTGGATCTTCCGACTCTTTTAAATGCTGCAACAACCACAACATGCATGTCTATTTTTATGGGATATATAATCTTGACCCTAAAGACCACAGTTTGGGAAAAAAACGATTTAACAAATAAAAAAAAAGAAAGAGAAAGTTCATACATACCTGAAGAAGATTATTCATGATAATTGCTCCATCTCCGACGTTTGCCTGAACAAGATTTAAGAGTGCCGTACGGTTCAGACGAAGCAACTGACTCAATCGCTTGGTACGAACAGTAAACAGCTGCGGTCTGTAACATAGCACCCCAACTTCACCAAAAACATTTCCTCTCTGTGCTTCGTTAACTACCTGTACAGAACACACACATATGCACAACCATTACCAAATATGTTTTGAGTTTTCCAATCTCAATGATGTTAAAGAAAAACACAATCAGGCCTTAAAAGATTTAAAAAGGGATAATGACAATTAGACTTGCCTGCTCCACTCCATTTACACGTGCAATTATGTCCTGAAGGAAAAGGAATGTAAAATTAGAAAGATTACTATAGCTGTTTGTTCAAGTGGAATATGTGAAACACTTACAACAGCTCCGGTCACCAATATGTAAAAGTCTGTCGGTGCTTCATTCTGCAAAATCACATCTTCTTTGGGAGGAAAATACTCTGCTTTCATTTCGGTGACCTACCAAAAATACAGTAACTTTAAGACTTGAAGCTAATAATGTGGCTAACGTATGAGTTCCTGCGTGACTGGAAACATACCAACTGGAAAAGAAGATCGTTGGATATTCCATGGAACAAGTAAATTTTATCAACAACTTCATAGAACAGATAATGCGATATGCTGGAACGAATAGCTTTGGGAAGAGATTCGATGATTTCTTGCTGCTGTAAGCCTTCTGAATCGGTTCTGTACCTCAAACACAAATGAGCTACCATCTGATCTTGCAAGCGCACTGGTAAATTGTTCCTCTGGCCAAACCCTGAAGCCGCTTGGATAGTATCTCTCTGAAATAACAATGCAGATGCACAAAACTCATGAATCTCCACAACAGTATTGACAGTATAAAACATACAATGGCTAAAAGGATAAGACTCATTAACTATAGTGGTAAATAGAACTTACGAATTTTCTGGTGCGACTGGTGACGTGAACCACCAAGTTGGTCATATTACCAATTATATAAGCGGACAATCCAAGATTAAAGACCATGTAGCAAAGAATGAAAGTCATCTCCCTTGAGTTAACACCATGTATGTCACCATAACCTGTTGTGGAGAAAGTAGTTATGGACCAATACATTGCCGTGTTATACCGCACAGCGAGAGGAGACTGTTTCCAGTTTTCATTGGTTAATGCCATAAATGTCTTGGAAGGGTCCGGGTAATGCGAGGCAATGGAATATAGGAAGCAGGCACCACAATGAATCACAAATAGAGTAACAAGGAGAAGCTTGGTGCAGCGAACCCAAAAGTAGCTGTATTTCCTATCTTTTTCTAACCTGGCGAAACAATTACTGACTCTCCGAAGACGCCATAGACGCAGCATACTGAAAATCCCATATCCCTGAATACTCTCATGTAAGAAGCTACCAAAACTTTCGTAAGGAAATGTGGATATGACATCAAAAGCAAACCAAGTGGAGACATATCTCCAAGCTATTCTCTTCGGATCATCGACAAGGAGGTAAGTTGCCTTGTCGAGAAAGGCAAGGAAGAATGTGAGAATGATATCAACTGCGAAAAAACCGTTGACGATGTTATCGAGAATACTGAGAGGTGCTCTTGGCTTTTGCAGGAACCCGAATTCAAAAGGCGATGCCCAAGCTGTGTATAGCACCAAAAACACTAAAAAAGTCTCCCACCCTCTGCAAATTACACAATCACATCAGCTTTTGTTTGGGAATATAAATTTGATCGAAACCCTAATTTGTGGGCCGGGGAGGAGAAAAGGAAAACCTGTAGCGAGGATCGAAGGGAGAGATGATGAAGCGACGGAGATTGACGTCACGAGAGGAACGAGAGGTGGCTCCGAGGGAAGGGAGAAGACCTTTGCTGAGGCTGTACTGGCTCATTGTTCCATCTCGAGACAGATGTTCTGCCACGTCATCGTCAG